CTCAGGATGAGCTTGTCCAATGAGAAAGGTTGAAATTCCAAGCGGGAGTTTGGAAATACTGGGGAGTTTTATGACCCTTTGTGTGAGAGCATGGTAATTTGCATATGGAACTTGAATCAAAATTACTAAAGATTCTTAGAACACTAATATATTGCCTATGTACAACATATAATATACACTCTCGTTTAGATCATCAAAAGACGAATTCGTAGATACTAAACATGGTAGGATTGCATATAGGTAAGATGACATTAACGAGTGATTCTATCATAAGCCTGCATAAAACAGTATACAATATAAAAGACAATATACAAAGACAGTAACAACATACACAATGATCTGAAGGATATGCGTGTTCATTCAAAGAAAGGATTTCCTATTAATTAATTAGAGAACAGTCCATTTCTCTGGGCATTATGTGTCTTTCCTATGAGGAAAATGAGTTAGTTTCTCTGCCCACATTCCTTTGGGCAATAAAACCAGTGATATCAGCATTGGTTGCCATGGAACCAGAGGCCTGTTCTGCCTTTCAGATGTGTTAGATGCATTTCGGGGGAAGGGTCCATAGACCCTCATAATTGGCCCTTTGTTTAGGTGAGGGGGTATTAGATATTATTTGTTACAAATAGTAACAAACAGTTGTGTGTCTGACTGGTCCAAATGCTACAATGTATTGGTAAAACTTTAGTGACACTTTTCTAACTGGGTGTTTGGACTATGCAAATAAGTTCTGCAAGAGGAAGGAAGGGTGTTCCCCACACTGATGCCAACATCCAATCTCAGCATTAGGCTGCCTTCCACTTTGCTTTTAGACACACACTCGCAAACTTCCCAAATCAAGGGAATCCCCACTGCCATTTTTAAGTGTGTTCCACTTCATGAACTGGATGAGGGGAGTTTATATGGACAGACCCTCGACCCCTTGATTTTGACCTAGCGAACGAGTCTACTGTATATGTACACTTCAGCCGGCCCCATATATCACAATGCAACACGATTCAGATTCAGATTCCAAGTGATCAAGGGCCTAGGACGTTCCAATTTAGCCCATTGCAAGGCTTCTGCTAGTAGTGGACCCTCGTGCAATGTAATCAATGACGCACATCCGAGAGGGAAGTTTAAAAAAAAAAAAACGAAGTGGAATGCAGCCATAGAATGGAGAAGCACCAAATTGCAATCTCCACATCACCTAGCTCCATGGCCTCATCTGGCCTCAACCTCTTTCAGAGATCTTGGGATGGTTGTATCAGTATATTATTTTCTAATTTAGATTAGAAGTTACATAGCTGATGTCAGTTAATAATAAATAATATTTATTTTATTGGCTTGATGCATAATAACCTTATTCCTAATCCATAATACTTCACCTTATTTGTTTTTCAATAAGATAATGTAACTCGACCAGAGCAACAACTAACTTGATCACTTGTATTTTATGCATCTTATGCACATTATTCCTTTTATCATTCACATTATTCATTTAGTAGTTGTTTATTACTCTTGTTTATCATTTGTCGATAAAAGTTATTTTTATAAAAGTTAAGTTATTTTTCTTCCTTGTGTTGATAATACAGTAAGAGGCACTACAAGTTAACGATATCTCACCAATCTTTTAGATAAACCAGTTGACCAGCACTCTCCAGTTTATATTAATTCTAAATGATTGAACAGCCCCTGTTGGAAGTGTTCTCATACTTTCAAGTTAAAAGTACTTGACTGTTGATGTACTCATAAGCTCACCATAAGTGATGTGAGCTAAAAATCACAATGTCCTAAGTGACGTGAGTACCAATCACTTCAGCTGTAACAAGGTCTTTTGCCCCAAGCAGTGCTAAGTGGAAACTGGGCAGAACTTCCACTTGGAACTGCTGATTCCCAATACACAAACTGTGGCTGGTCTAGCAAATCAGAATTTTGATAGCATCAAGGAGAAATGGGCACACTATGTTGTAGTGTGACACATTCACCTCCTGGAACCTGTCGACGTCAGTATAAACTGCAATGCCAAAGAAGCCAGAAGGCGTTCCCCGAGGTGACGAATCAAAACACCTCTGATTAGATATTGCATTCATAAGCTCAACAGAAATGCTTGAGATTGGTTATAACGCTCAACGCCAGGGGGGTTTCTTCATTAGAGTGATAGGGCGATGCACCACCAAAGCCGAAAGGGGGGGATTTTTCCCCTATCACATTCAACCACAACTGTCACTGTTCTAGACTGTTTGTTCTGCCTCTGGATATATTGTCCAATCAGCATCAAGTCACGTTCTGTGGAGTACCTCCCCTTTTTGAGCAATTTCATTCTGGCCGAGAATCGCCCAGACTGTTCTCATAGACTTCCATACAAATTTTTTTTTTCGAACTGCAGGCACTGCAATGCAATCTCTATGAATTCTGGGAGGGCTAGCACTAACATGCTTTCATCATCATATGTAACTTTAACTTGTGTTGCGATTTGTGGGAACAAACATACCTCTATTAATAAGAAATATGAAGTCAGGACTAGTCTGTATATGGCCTGAATAAAGCAAACCAGTATCTTACCAGTAAAGTTTAGATGGATGACGATTGTAATGGAGGTAACGACAATTACAGTGACATACAGGAGTCGTACATTATTAGACACGCGCAAGTCCACTATTATTGATGTGCAAACAAACATACCGTGTGTGTGTGCTCTCTTTTTGCACAAGCACATTTCAGTATGGTCACATGTCTGGTAAGTTTTTTATAATGGATACTCGCTGAAGAAGAGTGTTTTTAAAGGAGTTTGCTGCAGTCAGTGGTGTTAATATACATATGGGCATCAACACATACTCTGACAGAAGAACTGTTCACTGGTGATGTTGAGTTGCCTTCAGATCAACACAGACAAATTCAGAACATTTTTATTTGCTTTTTTATTTTGTGTTTTGCTCTGTTTAATCATTCTGAATAGATCTGAATATATCTATGTACAGCCAGGTTAAGGAGACTGATATAGGGATCTGTTGGGATCTCCGTGTGGTCCTGTTTGGTATTGCAGCTTGACTTGTAGTCATTTATACAGGTGCACCTGTATATGTATAGAAAATGCTTTAAACAAATGTGACATTTATTTCTTCCTCACAGTTTTTGCTGTTGCACTGCATACATAAACCATGAATTCTGCTAGACCAAGTACAAAGGCAACATGAGGGTCACATGACAAGAACCAACCAATGAGAACATGACACATGAACCAAGGAACCAATCAGAACATAACACACAGACAAGGGAATCAAGTCAAGTCAAGTCACCTTTATTTATATAGCGCTTTTAACAATACAGATTGTGACAAAGCAACTGAACAGCATTAATTAGGAAAATAGTGTGTCAATAATGCAAAATGACAATAGTAAACACTAATTTTTCAGTTAAAGACAGTTCATCATTGAATTCAGTGATGTCAACATCCAGCTCAGTTTAAATAATATCTTTGCAATCATGTCAACGATAACGCTGGAAATGAAGTGTCCCCAACTAAGCAAGCCAGAGGCGACAGCGGCAAGGAACCAAAACTCCATCGGTGACAGAATGGAGAAAAAACCTTGGGAGAAACCAGGCTCAGTCGGATCACATTGACATTCTGTCATGTCAATCACATGACAGAACATGACTGTGGCCAAACTACAAAATAAAAGACATGAAAACAATGAACAAGAAACAAACCCCAGAACCCCACGTTACATATATAAAGGTGACCTGACTTTTGCAAAAGGAAGTTATTTAGTGTAAAAGAGTGAGTTAGAATGATGTATTGCTTTTAAAATATACAGTAAATATAATTTATTCATTTTCGTTGCTAAATGTTTTTAGTGTATTTGTTCATTGTTAATACAAATTTATATTAAAGAGCATTTGTTAATTTTATAACAAAAGCCCTTAATCTTTTTAAATTGTTGAATTTGTGTTTTACTTTATTTAGCAGTTTCTTGGCCACATCTGGCCTGGGGCCTAAGCTGACTCTCAGACAGATCTGTCTTACAGTGTCTTGGCCAGACTTGGGCCACATCAATAATAATAATAATAATAATAAAAAGAAGAAAAAAAAGAGTCATTTAACAGGGTGTTGGTGGAAATTGTTTGTGTCAGTTTTCAATGTGTGGGCCAGTTTTGGGCTTGGGACCCAGCCAGAATGGACCAAAACTGAAGCAGGAATGCAGCCCAGAGGTGGGCCAGACATTTTCGTTATTAGGGTCAGTTAAGGCTGCATTTATCATTTCCTTACTTCAGGGTAAAATGAGAGGATAATTCATCAACCGTTGATCCCTGGAAATGTTGAAGTTTCCAGGATCTTTTTGAACACCCAGGGGGGAGAATCAGTGTGCAGGATCACCTGTTATCAATTCAGTGATTACTGAGAAGTTCCTCTAAAATACCAGAGCACTACTTTGAGGACAAAACACTCATTGGCCATTCATGCATACTGCACTGAAACCTGGAAGTACTAAAACACTGTCAACTCTACTTTGATTCTGTGTTCTTAAAAAAAAAGGTATTTACAAGGGTTATTTTTCTGATATTATTATTTTTCAACTTAGTTGAAAAGGAGCAGTTCTGGCTTTCAGCCTTCACATAGAAACCAGAAAAAGGAAACCAGACAGAGATCACTCAAATATCAGTTCGAATATTCTGTGATGCACTGCACGCTTGAACCAGGACATCTCTCAGAGCTCAGCCAAACTGAGCAATTGAGGAAGAAGGGCCTTGGTAAGAGCTGTGACCAAGAACCTTATGGTCACTCTATTTGAGCTTCAGAGAACTTTTGTGGAGATGGGAAGCTGTTGGCATGGTTTTCAGTGGCTTTGCATACCTGAATTTGAGGATTTTCTGCCATTCTCTGCAGATCATCTTCGCTATGAATGGAAGGAGAGAGACAGGTCTGTAGCTATCTGTAAGTGAAGTGTTTAATGTAGGTTTTTTGAGCAGTGGGGTTATCCGAGCCTGCTTGAATGCAGTGGGGAAGGTGCCTGTGAGGAGAGATGTGTTGATGATATGTGTGAGTGGTGGTAAAAATGTAGGAGAGATTGCTTGGCGGAGGTGCGAGGGGATTGGATCTAGAGGGCATGTTGTAGGATGGCTGGAGAGGAGAAGTTTTGATACTTCTGCCTCAGTGAGGGGACAGAAGGAGAAGATGAGAGTTTTTGCAGTTGGTGTGATTGGTTTGAAGTCCTGTGTGTGTGGGGCGGAGAATTGACTACTGATTGTTCTGGTTTTGTTTGTGAAGAATGTGGCGAAATCAACAGCTGTTATAGAAGTGATAGGAGGTGGTGGATGGGGACAGAGGAGAGAATTCAAAGTTTTGAAGAGATTATGTGTGTCTGGAGCACTGTTGATCTTGTTGTGGAAGTATGAAGATTTGGCAGTATGGACTTCAGCAGAGAAAGATGAAAGCAAAGACTGATACATACTCGGGTCTGACGGATCTTTTGATTGGACCATTTTATCTCTGCTGCCCTGAGTTTGGTCCGATGCTCACGAAGAACATCGGATAACCAGGGGTTAGAAGGGGCAGCCCGTGCCAACACTGTAGTATTGTTGACGCTGCAGCCATGTCGTGAAGGCGCTGTGTGCTTCGTTGTGAAAGCAAAACTATTTTGGTTGGTCTTCCAAAAGATGACGATATCCGCTTCGTCATGCCTAGAGCTGATCTGTGCTGGTCGCTGAGGGAATACATCAACTTTCACCATGGACAAAGCGGAGTCCAGCCCGGGGTCGTCACATGTGGTTGCCGCTCATTCGTCGCATCCGCCGGGCGCACCGTTCTCGACCCCGCCGCCTCAGCTCACTCTATCCCAGCCTCAGCGCACGCTAAGCCGGGGCTTCGGCTCATGCTAGCCCGGCCTCAGCTCACTCTATCCCAGCCTCAGCGCACGCTAAGCCGGGGCTTCGGCTCATGCTAGCCCGGCCTCAGCTCACTCTAGCCCTGCCTCAGCGCATGCTAAGCCGGGGCTTCCCCTCACACTAGGCCGCTGTGTTTTTCATTGTGAAAGCGAAACTACTTTGTTTGGTCTTCCAAAAGAGGACACGACTACAAATCAGTGGTTAAGTTGTATTTACCACACTGTTCCAGAACAGTTTAACCCAAATATCCAGATGTGTGCAGCACATTTTATGGAGGACTGTTTACTGATCCTGGGAGAGTAACGTTAGACTACAATGCCAGCAGTTCTGACTCACGTAAGTACGTTTTCATTTAAAGGATTTGCCACTGATGATTCAAACGGGAGTTTTGGGCAGTAGAGTAGCACTTATTGTTTGTCATTTCTCCGATCACAAATGCAGACAGAGTTTTATGTTTACGCGGTGCGGCGCGATGCAATGCAACGCAACGCGTAAAAAGACAGTATAAGTCATTATAATCAGTAATTATGTCTCCACTGGATGCAACAAATGCCTCGTTTGTAATGGGTTTTAATGTTGTCTCGTCGCTCCGGCCGGACACGGCATCAACAGTATGTGAGGGGCGTAACATTTCCGTCCCACGCTTGAGGTATTCGGCCAATCACAACGCATTGGATAGCTGGCCAATTACAGCACACCTCGCTTTTTCAGACCGATGAGCTTTGTAAAAATCGACGCGCTTCAAAAAGGCGGGGCATAGAGGAGAAACAATAATGTACAGTATGTGGAAAATAATGTGTTTTTGGAACTTTAAACCGCATAAACACATTTCATTACACCAAATACACCAAATAATGTTCTTTTTAGCAGCATCATATGACCCCTTTAAACTATAACTTCTAAACGGATTGACCAAAAATCACAAGACTTTAGATTTGGTGTGAAATTTTCCCATGTCGGCCATTTTGGGCATCACTCATTTTGAATTATGTTGTAAAATGCTATATTTTCCTTACACATTGGCGTAATGTCACAAATTTGTTATGTGTCACTGGAACTGTGCCCTGAAGGTACTTAAGAAAGTTTCAAGGCAGCGCCATGTTGTGGTCAAAAATTATAATAACATTTAAAAAAATGCTAATAGCTTTTGATTATTTTTGCCTATTATCATGAGACTGATCTTGATCGATTACTTGTATAATGCCTAGATCATTGATACCAAGTATGCCATAATCGGCCAAACTTCCTGTCCGCCATTTTTATTTATGTTGAAAACCTGCTTTTTCAAAGTCCTCCTAGACCAGGGCTGTCCAAACTCGGTCCTGAAGGGCCGGTGTCCTGCAGAGTTTAGCTCCAACCCTAATTAAGCACACCTGAACCAGTTAATCAAGCTCTTACTAGGCATAGAAACTTCCAGTCAGGTGTGTTAAGGCTAAACTCTGCAGGACACCGGACCCTGCATTCGTAGTCTCACATGTTATAAAACATTTAATGAATGAATGGACTCTACATAGAAGCAAATTAGTCAAAGTTGATTAGTCAAATTGTTCTCA